GAAAATTACATATTGTGCCTTTAATGTCTTTTTTATTTTTAAATAAGTGTTTGCTTTCCTACATTATGAAACTTTTTTTAGTTTTATAAATGGGGGCAACCTATGAAGGATGAACAAATAATGTCATCACATTAAAAATAACTTTCAAATTCGGTAACACTAAAAGCTTTGAAGTGCTGGGAAAAGTTGTCAGGCACTCGAAAACATTAGACCATTTCTGCCACAAGTTGTTCCTGTAGTTTTACTGTTAAATCCATGGTGAACGGTGGTGATTTGTGTTTGTTGAACAATGTTTTTCCTGGTTTCCACATCAGTGGCGTTTGTTCTGATATCTGTAGCTTTAACAGAATTCTGCGACGAATTCAACTGCTTTCTTCACTGAAGAGAACGCAAGGCTGTTCATTCCATTTTTGGAACTGAGAAACCTTTCTTTGACTGAATGCATGTCGCAATGACGTCACGGGACGCGTCTAAGCCCAAAATCTGCGGAAAATCTGCGGCAATTACGAAAATGTGTGAGCTCTTGTGAAAATTGCGGAGTTTGCTTGATTTTGCGATAAATTCAGCGATCACAGAATCCTGGAGGGACTGTTAAACCGTTCTGCTTTTCCTCTCTTACGACGTTCCTGAAAAGTTCCTTTCATTTGTTTTATTCGATGTGATAATAAATTCTGAAAGTCTCGTTACCAATTAAAGTTTTCATTTAGCTAAAAAACAAAACGAATAATAGTCCATTAATTATCACGTTTATTTTATAATCAACACTCAAGTAAAAACCGAGTTGATTAAGCATTTAAATCGCACATAAAGCAGTTTTCGTATAAACATTTTAATGAGATAATTTTGTTTCTACTCCAATTCGTTGTTGAAATATAAGCATTTGAACAGTTTTAATGACAGATTCATTCAAACATAACATTTATGAATATGTATATCGACATCTAAATTGCACATAAGGCAGTTTTTATATCAGCTAATAATTCGTTGTTGAAATATAAACATTTAAATGGTGGCTGTAAAAAAAACTTGTCTTCATGACAGATTTGTGTAAACATGCATTAAATAATTGTGACAAAAGATTCAGTAACAGATTTAATTAATATGTAATTTAATGGATATATTTATCATAATGTTCCTCCTAGAGTTATTTTTTCTTGCTGACTATCAAGTTTATGGTCATTTAATGTTTTTCTTGAGGTAGATGTGACGTTATTAATCTCTCTATAAAGCTGTTTTATTGACATTTATCCACAGCCGCTTACAAAACTGTTTCAGCTAATATTTTTGTTGCATGCATCACTAATTAGTTTGGTTTGTTTATATAATCAAAGCTAAATTTATTTAATATTTATTTTCAATTTAACACCCACAGTCTAGCTAGTTTCGATTTGTGTGAAAACACGGCGGAAAGCTGCGAGGTTTTAAAAGAGTGCTAAGGGAATTATACAAATGAATATATGAATGAATTAATTATATGTACCTCTGAAGGTTCTGACTGTCTTCAAAACAGATTTGATGGCATTTTGTTTTCATCTTCGCTCCATGTGTGATACCTAATAAACTAGTGTTCTTTACGGGAAACAGCTGTAATTCTGCTTCTCCATCAGCGCCACCTGCTGTCACAGAGTGGATTTACAGAGACTTATATTCACATTCAGTCTGTGTGCAGTTTCTGTCTAGACAAAAACGGAGTTAATTTGCATGCCCTGCTGTAATTTATGACCGGTTGATGAAAAACAAGCTTATGTGGATTCTGCACATTTAAACAATTCACATAAGGTATCTAGAATTATTTATGGAGCTGATAAAATACATAATCATTTATTAATCAGTTATCATTTTGATTTAACCCTTTTCTTTATTTAAAGGCTGAAATGTGAGGTTTCATACGTAATTAGATAAACTGTTGTCATTTAAAATCCGGACATCACTGGTAATGTTATAGTTTTAGTGTTTATGCAAACAGAAATGAATTGTATTTATTGTTGATTTTAAGTACAAAAATTGGTGAAACGATTTAAGTGTCCAGCACATTTTAACAATACCGTGATCATTTTGGTCACTATAATCGTGATGAGAAATTTTCATACCATTACATCTATAGTCCTCCGTTTTCCCAGCATGCACCTTGTTCATTGTGTGTTTGTTCCTCACCAGTGTCCCATCGACACTCGCAAGGTTCTGTCGGAGAACGTGGTGATAATCGGCGGTACGGCCATGCTTCCCGGGTTCCTGCACCGACTGCTGTCTGAGATCCGCTCACTGGTGGAGAAACCCAAGTACTGCGATGCTCTGGCTACCAAGAGCTTCCGAATCCACAGCCCACCCGCCAAACCCAACTGCACCGCTTGGTTAGGAGGTGAGCAAAGAACGGCACGGCCGAGGCTTTGAGACTCCTGACCTCTGCATGGGACGAGAAAAGATCTAACGCGTTTTATAAAGCAGTTGTGAAAATGAAGATTCGCTGAAAATGTGCTCACCCTCAGGTCATCCGAGATCAGGATGAGTTTGTTTCTTCATCAGGTTTGGAGAAATGTAGCATTGCATCAGTGTCTCAGCAATGGATGCTCTGCAGTGAATGGGTGCCGTCAGAATGAGAGTCCAAACAGCTGATAAAAACATCACAATAATCCACAAGTAATCCACAGCACTCCAGTCCATCAGTTAACATCTGGAGAAGACAAAAGCTGAAACATTAAGACGTTTTTAACGTCAAACTATTGCTTCTGGCTAAAATATGAGTTCATAATCCCAGTTAAAGGTGCCATAGAATGCATTGATACTTTATATTTTAAATCATATCTACATAGAAGGTATGTGGCTTAGGGAAAGACAAAAATTCTCCAGAAACTGTTTTACATGTCCATTTACAACCCTAGGATTTGTCCCTAGAATGAAATGGTCTGTTATTACCTTATTTGGAAGGGTCATGAATAATAATGTTGAGCTCTGCTCTGATTGGCTCATTTCAGTAGCTCACACAGCAAACAGATCTCTACTGTCCGGCGTGAACGATGCAGAGATTAGGCATCCAACCTTATATGTTTGAGCCTGTATCAGACGAAGATACAGATTTTGAGAGATTTTGCAAGATTGTTTAGCGTCCGTGATCGCTGCGAGATGCTGGCGGGGTGAACGAGGCTTGAGAGAGTCGTGAGTGAAGCTTCTGTGTTGCCAGATCCAGCTGTTATAATCGTTTTTGGACTTGTCTTTTCCACTTTTTTTGACACTTTAGAAAGTTAATAAAGTAGGATGTTGCAGTTTAGGGTCAGCGATATCTTTATCTTATCTTAATTGCAAAAGATTTGAAATAATTTCGGTTTATTTGTATTTATTTATCGGTTTTTGTTTGTTTTAATAGGAATATCTGGCAACACTGCCAAGGTAGTGTTTCAACTATGCCAAGGTAAATACAGTTTTCCATTCTATGGCACCTTTAACAGAAATATGTTCTGATAACGTTTTGCTAGCTTTCCCATGAAGTTATGAAAATTTTATTTTTTAATGTTCACTGGACGTCCAGTTGTTTTAAAATGTTTTTTCCTGGTTATGAGAATGTTAAGGGAACATTTGATCATTTGATGGAAACGTTACTTTTGAATGTTCTCTGAACATCGTGAAACAAGTAGTAACATTTTTAAAAAATGTTAGACGAACGTCCAGCTAAAATTTTTCAGAAAAATTCCATGATCAATGCATGAATTATGTATTTGTGCCAATGTTTTGAGAACATTATTAAAGACCAAATGACTTTGAATGAACATTCTGTTAATGTTACTGGCAGAACGATTGTTCATAACCTCATCAGCACATTCCCTGTTAGCTGGATAACACTTCCTCCAATGAAAAAGTCGTTGGATGTGATGCTACATTTCAACAAATGTGACTCTGGACCACAAAACCAGTCATAAGGGTCACTTTTTTGAAATTGAGATTTATACATCATCTGAAAGCTGAATAATAATCTTTCCATTGATGTATGGTTTGTTAGGATAGGACAATATTTGTCTGAGATACAACTATTTGAAAATCTGGAATCTGAGGGTGCAAAAAAATCTAAATATTGAGAAAATCATCTTTAAAGTTGTCCAAATGAAGTTCTTAGCAATGCATATTACTAATCAAAAATTAAGTTTTGATATATTTATGGTAGGAAATTTACAAAATATCTTCATGGAACATGATCTTTACTTAATATCCTAATGATTTTTGGCATAAAAGAAAAATGGGATAATTTTGACCCATACAATGTATTGTTGGCTTTTGCTACAAATATACCCCAGCGACTTAAGACTGCTTTTGTGCTGCAGCGTCACAAATCTAATGAAGAAACAAACTCATCCACGTCTCGGATGGCCTGAGAGCGAGCACATTTTCATTTTTGGGGGAACTATTCCTTCAACACACCTGGATATCTCAATTTTCTGCCAGTGAACTTTTGAACCATTCACTCAAGCTTGTTTTGTCTCTTCTTCCCATGTAGGTGCTATATTTGGAGCATTGCAGGACATTTTAGGGAGTCGCTCGGTGTCCAGAGATTACTACAACCAGATGGGTCGCATACCAGACTGGTGTTGTCTCAGCACCCCACTACCGGATTCAGTCTACGAGGCGGGAAAGACGCCTCCGCCTCTCATGAAGAGGGCCTTCTCCACCGAGAAATGAACTGGACACTTCAAATTTAACCTCCTATAATCGATGGGTCCTCGCCTGTAATAGCCTAAAGTCTGTCAAAATTAGTCAGCTATACCTAATTTGAATAGTAGGTGAAACCGAAACCACTAGGGGTCAGTCATCATTGGCTCATCGTGAAAGAGAGGGGAAAATCTTTTCAAATGCACTAAATGGTTTCCAACGCATGACATGTATCCAGCCTAAACCATGGCAGTACTTGTGTAGTTTAGATCAACTGCTTACTTGTTATTATTATTTAAATGTATGCTTGATCTTGCACCATCAAAGACAGATCATGGAAGGCATCTTGACCATAGTGCCAAGAAACTACATAATAATTCAATTCTATTTAACAACAACAAGCTTGAAGCGCTGAATATGTTGAAAAGTTTTATGTATGTATTATGTTTGTGAAAAAATAAACATTCTAAAATTGGTGTTTGCAGCTGGGGTCTTCTATTATACTTGTCCATTAAGTGTCAACTGATTTAGTCATGTTAACTCAGATTGCTCTTTTCTTTTTCTTTCTTTTTTTTTTGCAGTCATGTTTTACTAAAGAAAGTGTGAGGTCTGATCGTAAAGAATAAAAGGCTGTCAGGGTTTCTCTTTAACTGTATTTTCCAGTGGTTTCAATAAACTTGCATGACATACTTCTATGGAAGCTTATTTCCCCCAAGGAATCAAAAAGGTAAATTTGGCAAAAAAAAAGTCAGCATCGTTGAGATATTAGCGAACTGTGAGATCAGTCATGACATAAATAGTCAAAATAACCTTTTTCATTTTTTTTTTTTTAATTCTGTTGTGGAAATAAGCTTCCATATACTTAAAATCATTTAATGCTTAAAATAGTATTTTCATCATATTTGAGCACACTTGTCTGCAGGGAGTGGTAAGGACAACGGCGCCAAAGATGAACATCTACTTTTGGCAGGTTCCAGTAACTAACCTGGGCTTGAACCTTTCTTATTTGTTGTCAATATGACATTGGAATCAAGAAACACCATGTTAACAGAATTTGAGAACCAATTACAATCAGATTAGTAAGATATTATGAATTACGTTTGTGCATTTATGTTCAAAATGGGAAAAATAAGAATTGATTCTTGAGATCCATTGAGAATCACTCAGTTGCATAAGCTCCCATTTCTGCAGGTCTGGAGAACCATGAGTGTTAATGAAGAGGGAGGAGCTATCGTTAATTAGCTGAAATCTGTAGAGTACAAAAAGACCAAAGGGCAACATCTGAACAGTGTGATTAGCTGTTGAACAATGGTTGGAAGTTGGTGTTTGGTTCAGATTTTGGTAGTTTGTGTGTTCTGTCATGCTGTTCCAAAGTGGGGTAATTTGCTCCAGAACCCTCAAGCTCTGATGATTCAGCAAACTGACCAGCGGTTTCAGCAGCCAGTTCAACAAACTAACCAGCAGTTTCCTCAGCAGTTTCAGCTTCAGAAGCCAGTGGTGCAGACAGAGCTCCTTGATAAATGTTGCTGTAGCTGTTATGAGCAGATCCAATGTGGACAACCTGGGATCAGTGCTGCTGAGTGTGAAGCTATCAACTGCTGCTTTAAAAGACAGCAGTGTTACTATGGGAGGGCGGGTAAGTGTTCTCAATATTGTTCAGTTCATGTTAAACTGATTCTCAGAATTAACCTGCTCTTGTACCTTGTTCCAGTGACTGTCCAGTGTATTAGAGATGGTCAGTTTGTGGTAGTGGTGGCTAGAGATGTTACTCTGCCTTGACTGAGTCTGGATTCAGTCCATCTACTGGGTGGAAACGACCCACCTTGCAGTCCTGTGGGGTCCACACCTTCCTTTGCTGTATACCAGTTCCCTGTGACCGCATGTGGTACAAGAATGATGGCGAGTAGCTGCTTATGGTTTTATGCTTCATGGCCTATGATGGACTGGATGCCAACAGTGTTGCTATTTGCAGGAGGACAGTGGTTATGTGGTGTATGAGAACCAAATGACCTCCTCATATGAAGTGGGGATGGGACCGTTTGGTTCCATCACAAGGGACAGCCATTTTGAGTAGGTGATCTATGCTGTTCTTAATCGTTAATCTCTGACAAATGCTACAAGCTCCCCGTCTGTTGTCCAGGCTTCTCTTCCAGTGTAGGTACTCTGGCACTTCTGTAGAAGCTCTGGTTGTGGAGGTCAACACCGTTCCTCCACCTCCACCAGTAGCTGCCCCTGGACCCCTCAGGGTGGAGCTTAGACTGGCCAATGGCCAGTGTGTCACCAAAGGGTGTGCAGAAGGTATGTTCTTGTTCCATGTGTTCCTAGTATCTTAAGACTCCAGGTTGCAGCAGTTTCTGGTTAATCACCAGTGTTGTTCTTCAGGGGATGAGGCCTACACGTCCTACTACAGTGATGCTGATTATCCTGTAACAAAAGTCCTGTGAGAGCCTGTGTATGTTGAGGTGCGCATTATGGAGAGGACTGACCCCAACATTGTCCTGATGCTGGGACGCTGCTGGGCAACTTCAACCCCCAGTCCACTCAGTCTACCCCAGTGGGACCTTCTGGTTGATGGGTGAGTGTAATGGCAATGTTTATCCTGCTAGTCTGGGGATTTTCTAACCTCCTTTTCCCTTTCAGATGCCCTTACCAGGATGACCGTTATTATGATGGACTGGATACAACGGTGTTGCATTCACAGGAGGACCGTGGATATGTGGTGTATGAGAACAGAATGACCTCCTTGTATGAAGTGGGGATTGGACCGTTTGGTTCCATCACAAGGGACAGTCATTTTGAGTAAGTGATCTATAACTTGGTGTGACTGTTAGTCTCTGAAATGCTAGAAGCTCACCGTCTGTTGTCCAGGTTTCTCTTCCAGTGTAGGTACTCTGGGACTTCTGTGGAAGCTCTGGTTGTGGAGGTCAACTCTGTTCCTCCACCTCCACCAGTAGCTGCTCCTGGACCTCTCAGGGTGGAGCTCAGACTGGCCAATGGCCAATGTGTCACTAAAGGCTGTGCAGAAGGTAAGGTATTGTCCTGTGTCTTAAAGCCTCAAACTTGAGTCTGTTTAAACCCTAGTGTTCTTCCTCAGGGGATGAGGCCTACATGTCCTACTACAGTGATGCTGATTATCCTGTAACAAAAGTCCTGCGAGAGCCTGTGTATGTTGAGGTGCGCATTATGGAGAGGACCGACCCCAACATTGTCCTGATGCTGGGACGTTGTTGGGCAACATTAACCCCCAGTCCACTCAGTCTCCCCCAGTGGGACCTTCTGATCAGTGGGTGAGGTATACAGCCGATCTTTATCCAGTTAGTCTGCTGGGAGACTTTCTAACCTTTCATCTTCAGATGCCCTTACCAGGATGACCGTTACCTGACTGCACTGGCTCCAGTGACTGGATCGTCTGGTCTTCAGTTCCCAACCCACTACAAGCGCTTTGTTGTGAAGATGTTCACATTTGTAGATCCAGCCTCACTGGCTCCTCTGCAGGAAACTGTATGCCCCCCTTTACTAGAACATTTTAATTTTACTACTTATGAATTCTGACTTGCTCCTTTCTTCCCTGTCAGATCTTCATTCACTGCAGTACAGAGGTGTGCCATCCATCTTCTGGCTCTTGTGAGCAAAGCTGCACCAGGAAACGTGAGTTCTTGCTCCGTCTAGACTATAGGAACCGCTTTATACGTCAATTCACACTTCTAACATTTCTTTTTCAGGAAGAGACACTCGTATCAAGGCCGTCTCTAGTGAGCAGACTGTGGTTTCTAGTGGAGAAGTCACTCTGGTCATGTAAATCTAGTGTTTTTAATAAACTGTGGAACGAGATCTTTGTCTATTGGTATTGTATTGGCTTTACAGAAGCTGGTATTACATGCCTCTTCCCAGTTTTCTTTTTTTGACCTAAACCAAGGTTCCACGACCTTTTGTAAGGTCATGCATTCTGAGTCCAGGCTTCTGTATAAGCCATGACCCTTATCCATCTACAGTTGTTAACCTGGGCCACTGCATAAGGTACCAAATTAAGGGTTAATCGTGAACTTCTGATTGGTTAACAGGATGTTTTACCCATCCAACATTTATCCCATCCAAGTGTGCATGCACATTTTGCTGTGGCACATGGGGAGCAATTGAGGGTTTTGTCTCGCTCAAGGTAACCTCAGCTGTGGGTATATAAGGTAGAGAGCATTATACATTCACTCCCACGTACAATTCCTGCTGGTACTGAGACTTGAGCCCATGACCTTTTGGGTTACAAGTCCAATGCTTTAAGCGTTAGGCCATGACTGCCCACCCCCACAACTTGTAAGGTCATATTTGATTCATTCTGCTAGTACTATCTGCTTAAATGGGAAAGATTTAGTTGCAAGCTGGGGAGTTGTGGCCTAATGGTTGGAGTCGGACTTGTAACCTGAAGGTTGCAGATTTAAATCTCAATATCAGTAGGGAATGTAGGTTGGGGATTGAATGAAGAGTGCTCTCTTCTACAGCCAAATGCTCCTCGGGCACCACAGCGACTGGTTGCCAACTGCTCTGGGTGTTCACTACTCACTGCTTTCGGCGACGCCTGTGAAATATTTAATTTTTTTTTTTATTCATGCAGTGTGAAACCCCCTGTCACCGATCCATCGTGTGACGTGAACAGCAGCAACTGAATGCTACCCCAGATAGTCACGCAGTGTGAAAAGACAGCAGTGTTACTATGGGAGGGCGGGTAAGTGTTCTCAATATTGTTCAGTTCATGTTAAACTGATTCTCAGAATTAACCTGCTCTTGTACCTTGTTCCAGTGACTGTCCAGTGTATTAGAGATGGTCAGTTTGTGGTAGTGGTGGCTAGAGATGTTACTCTGCCTTGACTGAGTCTGGATTCGGTTCGTCTACTGGGAGGAAATTACCCACCTTGTGCTCCTGTGGAGTCCACACCTTACTTTGCTATATACCAGTTCCCTGTGACCGCATGTGGCACGAGCATGATGGTGAGCAGCTGCTTCTGGTTTTATTCTGCGTTGCTTATGGACTGTATGCCAACAGTAGTGTTATTCACAGGAGGACAGCAGATATGTGGTGTATGAGAACAGAATGACCTCCTCGTATGAAGTGGGGATTGGACCGTTTGGTTCCATCACAAGGGACAGTCATTTTGAGTAAGTGATCTATGACTTGGTGTGACTGTTAGTCTTTGATAAATGCTAGAAGCTCACCGTCTGTTGTCCAGGCTTCTCTTCCAGTGTAGGTACTCTGGAACTTCTGTGGAAGCTCTGGTTGTGGAGGTCAACTCTGTTCCTCCACCTCCACCAGTAGTTGCTCCTGGACCTCTCAGGGTGGAGCTCAGACTGGCCAGTGGCCAATGTGTCACTAAAGGCTGTGCAGAAGGTAAGGTCTTGTCCTGTGTCTTAAAGCCTCAAACTTGAGTCTGTTTAAACCCCAGTGTTCCTCAGGGGATGAGGCTTACACGTCCTACTACAGTGATGCTGATTATCCTGTAACAAAAGTCCTGTGAGAGCCTGTGTATGTTGAGGTGCGCATTATGGAGAGGACTGACCCCAACGTTGTCCTGATGCTGGGACGTTGTTGGGCAACATCAACCCCCAGTCCACTCAGTCTCCCCCAGTGGGACCTTCTGATCGATGGGTGAGTAATGCCAATCTTTATCCAGTTAGTCTGCTGGGAGACTTTAACCTTTCGTCTTCAGATGCCCTTACCAGGATGACCGTTACCTGACCACACTGGTTCCAGTGACTGGATCATCTGGTCTTCTGTTCCCAACCCACTACAAGCGCTTTGTTGTGAAGATGTTCACATTTGTAGATCCAGCCTCACTGGCTCCTCTGCAGGAAAAGGTTTTCTTTCCCACCCATTAACTCGGTTTTTTTTTTTCCAAGTTTCTTAATCCTAATGGGGTTTTTCTGTCTTGGTCAGATCTTTATCCACTGTAGTACATCAGTGTGCCATTCTCTTTCTGGCTCCTGTGAGCGGATTTGCTCAAGGAAAAGTGAGTGACTTCCATTTTTAGTCTTTTTGGTTTTGTTTTAAAGTGGTAATCCATTTTCTCACCCTCCTTTGCAGGAAGGGATGTTGATGTCAAGGCCGTCTCTAGTGAGCACACCATAGTTTCTAGTGGAGAAGTTACCCTGGTCATATAAACATGTTATGATGGCTGTTTTAATAAACCTTGAATTTGTCTGGAGTTTGTGGTTGTTTGGGCTACCTTGTTCAGTGGAGTTTGTTAAATTTGTACAAGTGTTCAAAGTTGTTCTCTTCCCAAGTAACTCTAATCTACACTGCTTTGACTTCAGCTTTCCTGGAAAACTGAAAGTTTTGCGCTTCTCTTTTGCCTGTCCATGTTGAGCTTTTGGCCATGACGACACAAAGGTCCAGTTACTATGTGTTTGGGTGTTGAAATTTCCCTCCCTCAGCTTTGTGTACCTATTAACAAAGAACACTAGGGTCACCTGCTGATACGGCATCACCATAATGAGCCCCCTCATACCTTTTGCTTGTGTACTGAGTAGCAGTGTTGGGATAACTCATTACAAGTAATGGGAGTTATGCAATCCGATTACTTTTTTCCAAGTAACTAGTAAAGTAACACGCTGATTTAAGAAAATATCTGAGTTACTTTTTTGCAAATGTATGCAAAGTTCACACTGCACGATTTAGCCCGATATTTCACTCGCCGACAGGTTTTGTGAAATCGCTGACAAATGCCTGAAATCAGAGGCAAATTGGTGCTCGTTCACGCGAGTGACAATCACGCAGTGTGAATTATCAAAGACGCGATCTGAGGGAATCGCTGATGCCTGTGAAATATTTGGCATGTTAAATATCTGGCGCTGTCGGCGATTCCCAATCACGCTGTGTGAAATGAGTTCTGACTGAAACACATCGGCGATGACATACCGCTAATGAGAGACCAAGATACAGGGCAGAGGGGAGTTTGGGGAGGAGTTAAATGAAACTTGGTTTGCAAACCAGTGTTGCCAAATCCGCGATTGCTGCCGGTTGTTTATGTCAGCAGGTGGAAGAGACCCCAATAACGTGATATTTAGGCCCTGGAATGTGAATTCTACCAGGAGAACCCTGCCAAAAAAATTATTTTATCCCCCGAATGCAATTTTTACTGGGGGACCCCCTCAAAACAATTGGGCTATTTTCAGGCTAGTTGAGTAATGGGGTGGGTTTTGTAGCGAAAACCTGGCAACCCTGCACCAGATAGAGCTGTCGTCGATTCTTCCTATTGTAAAGTCATGCAGTGTGTAACCTCCTGTTGTCGTTCCATCGTGCAGTGTGAACACAGCAACAACTGAATGCTACCCCAGATAGTCGTTCAGCGTGAAACCAACAGTGATGCGACGTCTTTGAAAATTGTGCAGTGTGAACTCTGCATTACTTTGTTTTCCCATTTATTGACTGACAAGTCCCCTGTCCCCATATTGGGAGAAATCGGAAGCGCAGAGGAGTTGTGTGCTGTGTGAACATGTTACTGTAGTTCTAGACTAAATGTGAATGTGCATTAATTCATCCCACTCACACAATACAGATTTAGTATTCATCAAAATGAATTACAACAGTGAAATGCAATCTGAGGATATGATGCAAACCTGCAATTATTTGTTAAATGTATCTAACCCTTTGTCTTTGCTGCTGACCTTTGATCCAGTTCAACCATACTAAGCAAAAATGACTTTAGATAATTAACAATTTTTTTTTTTTGGCCTGAAGTGTGCACCTGCGTTCTACTGTACAGACATGAATTTACTTTTCCTTCAGCCTGAGGTTTATTCATTATACTTTTTGTGTGAAAGGGCTTTTACATTTGCTATAAATAGAATATGTATTAAAAACAACGAAGTCCTGCTCAAAAAAAAAAAAAAAAAGTAACTCGAAAGTAACAAAAGTAATGTAACGCATTACTTTCCATAAAAAGTAACCAAGTAACGTAATTAGATTTTTATTTTATTTTTCTTAGGGAGTAACGCAATATTGTAATGCATTACTTTTAAAAGTAACTTTCCCTAACACTGAGTAGTAGTTTTGGTGTTTGCCTCTGACCTGAAACTCATTCAAAACTGAACAGGTGCGCTGCTACATATCAAGTGTTCTAGAGTTGCAACCCTTAAAGTGTCAAACTCCATGCTCATGTGATTTAAGGGTTTTTTTTTTTTTTACGTGATGGTTTAACAAAAGCTCTGTTTTGGCCATTCATTTAAAGTGTAATTTTGGGGGGCCTGAAAATGTACTTTAAAACCAGTTTTCAAAATTTTGCCATTTAAAAATAATAGTGTCCGCACAACCTACAAAAATGTAAATTTGCACATGAAATCACAACTTTCACATTACGTGTGCACCCTAAAGGTATGTGTGTGGCGTGTATTTACTAGTTTACATCGGCAGCTACTGGCATGGCGTGCATAATATTTAGTTTTTGCAGATCCATGTGAACGAGGATCGCTTGGATGACATTATCACCTGTACATGAAAAGTGCAAAGAAAAAACATTGTTTTTAGCACGTTGTGTAAATGTATCCCAAGTCTGGAAATGCGCACTCCTAATGTGAGGTCAAGACCTGGGACCCTATCTGATTATACAAATAAAAGGGTTGCTTGAACATGGCCAAGTTGAGCTAATGGATAGAAGTTGGAGGCTTGGTACTTTCTGCTTAGTGTATCTAAATGTAGTACAAGAACTACAAATTTACTCAGTTTTCATAGTCCTTGTTCAGTTTATATTTTTGAAATTGTAACACTCAAGTGAACATTAAGAATTACTGTTTTTGCTTGCCAGCAAGTTTGAGTCAATCCTAAAAAAAAAAAAAGATGTAACAGTTAATCTTATTTAAAATGTCTAACAGACGAAAATTTGAAAAAAGGCTTATAACTACAATTATAGGAGATATTATAACTTCAAAATTAGCACCACTATCCTTAAACTTAAAAATTAGCATTTGACAATACTCATCTGCATCTGCAACACCCTTTATGAGACTGACTGTCTTCCATAACTTTGATTATTTTTTTATCATTATTGGTTATTTGTCAACCCATTAATCTCAAAAAAGTAAAATGAGCACAACTGCTATTGTTGTTGTCGTTCAGTTTAGTAGTCATTTAGTGGTCAGTTTAGTGGTCATTTAGTTTCATGTGGGAAAACAACCAATCAAAAATTAAGATAAATTCTTAATTAGTCAAAGTAGCTGTAATGATTCTTGATTAAAGGAGGTGGGGTTGTTAACGATGATTAATTTGCAGAGTACAAATAGAAGTCCAAGGCATTCTGAAGTTGTGTTCAGTTGTTTAGTAATGGCAGGAAAGTGGTATTCAATTTGTTTCCAAACACTATGTGTTTTGGTTGGCTCTATTTGCAGTGCTGTTCCAAAGTGGAGTAATGTGCCCCAGAACCCTCAAGCTCTGATGATTCAGCAAACTGACCAGTGGTTTCAGCAGCCAGTTCGACGACAAACTAACCAGCGGTTTCCTCAGCAGTTTCAGCTTCAGAAGCCAGTGGCGCAGACAGAGGTCCTTGATAAATGTGCTGTAGCTGATTATGAGCAGATCCAATGTGGACAACCTGGGATCAGTGCTGCTGAGTGTGAAGCTATCAACTGCTGTTTTAAAAGACAGCAGTGCTACTATGGGAGGGCAGGTAAGTGTTCTCAATCTTATTCGGTTCATGTTAAACTGATTCTCAGCGTTAACCTGCTCTTGTACCTTGATCCAGTGACAGTCCAGTGTATTAGAGATGGTCAGTTTGTGGTAGTGGTGGCTAGAGATGTTACTCTGCCTCGACTGAGTCTGGATTCTGTTCGTCTACTGGGTGGAAATCACCCACCTTGCGCTCCTGTGGAGTCCACACCTTACTTTGCTATATACCAGTTCTCTGTGACCGCATGTGGCACGAGCATGATGGTGAGCAGCTGCTTCTGGTTTTATTCTGCATTGCTTATGATGGACTGGATGCTGACACTGTTCCTGTTCACAGGAGGACAGCAGATATGTGGTGTATGAGAACAGAATGACTTCTTCATATGAAGTGGGGATTGGACCGTTTGGTTCAATCACAAGGGACAGTCATTTTGAGTAAGTGATCTATGACTTGGTGTGACTGTTAGTCTCTGATAAATGCTACAAGCTCACCGTCTGTTTTTCAGGCTTCTCTTCCAGTGTAGGTACTCTGGAACTTCTGTGGAAGCCCTGGTTGTGGAGGTCAACTCTGTTCCTCCACCTCCACCAGTAGCTGCTCCTGGACCTCTCAGGGTGGAGCTCAGACTGGCCAATGGCAAATGTGTCACCAAAGGGTGTGCAGAAGGTAAGGTCTTGTCCTGTCTTAAAGCCTGTCAAACTTGAATGTTTAAACTTCTGTTCCTCAGGGGATGAGGCCTACACGTCCTACTACAGTGACGCTGATTATCCTGTAACAAGTCCTGCGAGAGCCTGTGTATGTTGGGGTGCGCATTATGGAGAGGACTGACCCCAACATTGTCCTGATGCTGGGATGTTGTTGGGCGACTTCAACCCCCAGTCCACTCAGTCTCCCCCAGTGGGACCTTCTGATCGACGGGTGAGTGTACAGCCGATCTTTATCCAGTTAGTCTAATGTACGCCATCCCTAATGCTTCTATACCACTGTTTAGATGCCCTTACCAGGATGACCGTTACCTGACCACACTGGTTCCAGTGACTGGATCGTCTGGTCTTCAGTTCCCAACCCACTACAAGCGCTTTGTTGTGAAGATGTTCACATTTGTAGATCCAGCCTCACTGGCTCCTCTGCAGGAAACTGTATTGTTCCCCACTTTACCAGTTTTACACTCTGCCTCTTGATGTTTTGTAATGGGTGCTTCTGCTTCTCAGATCTTCATCCACTGCAGTACAGAGGTGTGCCATCCCTCTTCCGGCTCCTGTGAGCAAAGCTGCACCAGGAAAAGTGAGTACTTGCTGTAACATTGTAATGTTGCTTAATCTCCGACTAGTTGTGGGTTGTCTCACTCTTCTCTCCCCCTTTCCCCTTTAGGAAGAGATCTTGCTGTGAAGACCGCCACTACTGTGGTTTCTAGTGGAGAAGTGAGACTGATTCTATGATTGAGAAATCTTTTAATAAACTAAGACTTTAAACTAACTATTTTGTGAAGAGCTACCAATCAGATGTTGCTCCCATGTTTATGCAAGTGTTAACTGACTCCCAGGTAGCTACAAATCTACCATCAATCATTTGGTTTATCGACTCTTGGTCCTGTTTGGGTTCTCAAAGGATTTTAGAGACCCTGAAGATTCTGTGCGTTTGAACTTCAGGAGACTTTCAGAACTAACAAATTGTGCTAAAGTATTAAACTACAACTAGATCCTAGTGAACTGGCAAATTACAGACCCATTTAAAATCTTCAGTTTTTCTACAATTTTAGACAGTTGTCTGCTCAATTGTGCTCCTTCCTGCAAAAACGATCTCTAGGAAGAATTTCAGGCCCCACCATAGTACAGGAACTGCACTTGTTAAAATTACAAATGACTTGCTGCTTGTGTCAGACCAAGGCTGCATCTCATTGCTAGTTTTATTTTATCTTAGTGCTGCATTTGACACAATAGATCATGACATACTCGTAGGTCGACTACAAAACTATACAGGTATTCAAGGTTAGGCTTTAAGATGGTTTAGATCCTACCTGTCCGATCGCTACCACGGTTTATTTAAATGGGGAGTCATCTCCATTATCACCAGTAAAATATGGAGTGCCACAAGGATTTGTCCTAGGGCCACTGCTATTTTCAATATATGTTCCCCCTTGGTAATATTAGAAAATACGGGATTAGTTTCACTATGCTGATGGTACTCAACTATACATTTCAACAAGACTAGATGAAACTTCTAAATTAGCCAAGATAACAGTGTTAATGTAACGGTTGGATGACCAATTTTCTCGGAATAAATTCGGGTAAGACGGATTACTTATTGGACCACAAAAATGGTACACAGAATCTCTTGGATTACAATTTGCAACTAGACTGCTGTACTGTTACTTCCTCTACAGTTGAAAATATAGGTGTTATATTAGTGACTTGTCTTTTGAAAATCATATTTCCCATGTTACAAAAACCACGTTCTTGCGTCTTAGAAACATTGCCAAACTATGAAACATGTTACCTGTTTCTGATGCAGAAAAGCTAGCTCATGCATTAATGACCTCTAGACTGGACTATTGTAATGCACTGCTAGCTGGTTGTCCTGCATCTTCAATAAGCTACAGGTAGTCCGAAATGCAGCAGCTAGAGTCCTTACCAGATCAAGAAAATATGATCATATTACCCCAATTTTACAGTCTCTGCACTGGCTACCTATTAAGTTCCGTATCCGTTACAAAATATTATTACTTGCCTATAAGGCCCTTAATGGGTTAGCTCCTGTGTACCTAACTAGTCTTCTACCACGCTACAATCCATCACGCTCCCTAAGGTCGCAAAACTCTGGACTTTTGGTAGTACCTAGGATAGCGAGGTCCACTAAAGGAGGTAGAGCTTTTTCGCATTTGGCTCCCAAACTCTGGAATAGCCTTCCTGATAACGTTCGGGGTTCAGACACACTCTCTCTGTTTAAATCTAGATTAAA